GGAGTTAGTGTTCCCATTTTATTGCCGATGGACTGAATCATTCCACCCACCGTTTCCAGATTCGACTGTGTAGTCTTGTGTTGGGAAATTAGTTCCTGTAAGAGAGATTCATTTCTCCTTACCCTTTCCTCAAGGGTGACCTGATCAGCATTCAAACCGTTCTTTGACATATTGTGGCCAGAGCAAACTGTTAAGGTCTGTGGGTGATGTCAAAGGCGAACGGTTTGAAGCAAGGATTAAACAACTTGAGGTAAAAAAACAATTATATTTATTGGTTCAGGTGTAGCTGGTAAACTTAAACTCAGGATGGATCCACTGTGGGAATAGAGAGGAGATTGGTGGTGAACGACAAATCGTCTTGAGGAGATTTTGAAAATGTTGAGGGTAATGCAAAAATAAGCTTACTTGTCGTTGTTGTTCCAGGAGCATGAGAACAGGAGACAGGATCCGAATCCAACAATCCACGGTGGGATCAGGTGAGTATATTTAAAAGTGTATTTACAAAAATCACCAAGGGAGCCGGGGTGGAGGAACCAGGAACCAGGTGAGGCACACAGGAGTAAAGGTGGAGGAGGAGAAAACGCTGCTGTCATGCAGGGAGACCGATAAGGAGCTTGAAGTCAGCCAGCCAGTAGTTACAGGAACATGGAGCTTGGTAGAACTTTGCTCTGGCACTGATCTGGAGTGAAGCTCCAGCTTAAATAGCTCCTCCACCTGGTCCAGGTAATGAGCAGCAGCTGTGGAGAGATAATTAGGAAAACACAAACAACAGAGAAGGGAGGGGTAGAGGAGCCAACCTCTACAGTACCTCCCCCCAACGAACGTCTCAGGACGATGACATCATCCGTTTCTCTGGATGGTCTCGAAAAAATGCCTCTATCAAACTGGGGTCCAGGATGAAAGACCTTGGGATCCATGACCTGTCTTCAGGTCCATAACCCTCCCAATGGACTAGGAACTGGAAACCCCTACCCCGTCTTCTTGAATCCAGGATACGGTTGACCCTATATGCCGGTTGGTTGTCGATCAATAGAGGGGTTGGGGGGGGAGTTGGTGGGAGGGTTGAGTGGGCTGACTGAAACTGGTTTTAGATTAGAAACATGGAAAGTTGGATGGATCTTCATGGATGGCGGTAACTTGAGCCTGACTGCAGAGGGGTTTACGATTTTGTCGATAGTGTAGGGACCAATGTACCTGGGGGCCATCTTGCGAGAGGTGTCCTTTAGACGGATGTTTCTGGTGGAGAGCCATACAGATTGGCCTACCTTGTAGTCTGGGGCTTTGGAGCGATGTCTGTCAGCTGATTCCTTGTTCCGTCCGGCAGTCCTTGACAGTGCCTCTCTAGCTTGAATCCAAACTGTCCTGCATCGGTCCATGTGGTCCTTGACTGATGGAACCAGGATTTCAGTCTCCAACAGAGGAAATAGTGGGGGCGTGTATCCAAGGGAAACCTCGAAGGGTGTCAGGCCAGTAGCGGATGAGGTTAGGGTATTGTGCGCATATTCCACCCAGAGTAAGTGTTTTGACCAGTCAGATGGGTTCTTCTCAGACACGCACCTAAGGACGGCCTCCAACTCCTGGTTGCATCTCTCTGACTGTCCGTTTGATTGTGGATGGTATCCGGAAGATAAACTTACAGTGGCTCCGATGGACTTACAGAACTCCTTCCATAATTGGGATATGAATTGTGGGCCTCTGTCCGATACAATGTCTGTGGGTAAGCCGTGAATCCTGAAAACCTCTTGTAGAAGAATCTGGGCCATCTCAAAAGCCGAAGGGAGTCTTGTGAGTGCAATGAAATGGGCAGCTTTAGAGAATCGATCCACAACAGTGAGGACTACGGACTTCCCATCTGAAGGTGGCAAACCTGTCACGAAGTCCAAAGCGATGTTTGCCCATGGTCTGTCCGGAACTGGTAGTGGATGAAGTAGACCCGCTGGTGGTTGATTGTTGTTCTTATTTCGGGAACAAGTGGAGCAGGCCTTGACAAATTCCTTTATGTCACTTGACAATGTCTTCCACCAGAAATGTTTCTTGGTGAATTCAATCATTCTATTGATGCCGGGATGACAGGTGAAGTGATGAGAATGAACCCATTCCAAAACCTTGTGGATGACGCACTTTGGAACGAAAATGGTGCCAGGTGGTCCACCCCTAGGATCAGGTTGCTGAACTTGAGCCTTCTTGATCTCCTGTTCAATGGGCCAGGTGACAGCTCGGACCACACAGGCTTGTGGCAAGATCCCAGAGTCTCCCTTCTCTCGGTTGGAAATGGAGAATTGTTAAGACAACGCATCTGGTTTAACATTCTTGGAACCAGGGCGATACGTGATGGTGAATCTGAATCTTGTGAAAAACAATGCCCACCGGGCCTGACGGGGGTTAAGGCGCTAGGTTCTTGTGATCGGTCCAAATGATAAATGGAATATTGGCCCCCTCCAGCCAGTGTCTCCACTCCTCGAGGGCTAGTTTTATGGCCAACAGCTCACGGTTTCCGACGTCGTAGTTCTGTTCAGCTGGAGAAAAACGTCTTGAAAAGAAAGCACATGGGTGAGTTTTATTATCGTGGGGGTCCCTTTGAGAGAGGACAGCCCCAGCACCAATATCCGATGCATCCACCTCCACAATGAACTGTCTTTGGGGGTCTGGGTGATGAAGAATGGGTGCAGAACAAAAACGTTGCTTTAACTCACGGAAGGCTTGGTCGGCTTCGGGGGTCCAGTTGAATTTGTAATTCGTGGATGTAAGTTGGGTGAGAGGGGCTGCCGTCTGACTGTAGTTCCGGATAAAACGGCGGTAGAAGTTTGCAAATCCCAGGAACCTCTGAAGCTGCTTTCTGTCCGTAGGTGTCGGCCACTTCAGAACTGCTCGGACCTTCTCAGGGTCAGTGTGGTAGTGTCCCTCGTTAAAGATAAAACCAAGGAAAGAGACAGAGGTTACGTGGAATTCACACTTTTCAGCTTTGACGTAAAGTCGGTTTTCATACAATCGATGTAGTACAGTGCGAACATGGGTCTGGTGGGACTGGATGTCGGTAGAATAAATCAGAACGTCATCTAGATACACAAACACAAATTTATTGATCAGATCTTGGAGAATGTCGTTGATGAGAGTCTGAAAAATTGCAGGAGCATTAGTGAGTCCGAATGGCATGTCTAAATATTCAAAATGTCCAAAAGGGGTCTTAAATGCAGTTTTCCACTCATCTCCTTCCTTGATCCTCAAAAGGTGATAAGTGTTTCTAAGGTCCAACTTTGAAAAAACAGTGGCAGAAAGAAGTTGTTTTTGTACTGAGTTGATTAACGGAAGTGGGTATTTGTTCTTTATGGTTATCGCATTTAGACCTCGGTAGTCAATACATGGGCGGAGTGAACCGTCCTTTTTATCTACAAAGAAAAACCCCGCCCCTAATGGAGACGTAGAAGGGCGAATGATGCCGGATTGTAATGATTCGTCTAAATAATTTTGCATGGTTTCCTTTTCGCTCCGAGAGAGGTTATACAGGCGACTCAAAGGGAGAGAGGCTCCTGGCAACAGTTCAATTGAGCAGTCGTATGGGCGATGTGGAGGTAAGGATAACGCTTTATTTTTACAAAATACGGGCGCCAAATCATGGTACACCTTGGGTACCTTTGATAAATTTATTTATTTATTGTCTCTGACAGAAAACCAGCAGACCTTAAACAGTTCCTTAAACAATATTCGCTCCAAACACTGATCCTTTTCTTCTGCCAATCAATGATGGGGTTGTGTTTTACCAACCATGGATAGCCTAAAATCAACTGCAGTGAGGGAGAATGAAAAACCATGAACTCACCCAGTTCTCTGTGATTGCCGGAGATGATGAATGGTAATTCAGTTACTTCATGGGTGATAGTGGTGATGTTCTTTCCAGTGACTCCAGCCACCGGAAT